TGAGGTGTTTGATGAATTCCAGAAGTTCATACTGAAGGTTGAGAATCACAGTGACCAGACTCTGAAGATTCTTAGAACTGATGGTGGTGGTGAGTATAAATCCATGGAATTCAGAAGATTATGTGAGGAGAATGGAATTGAGAATGAGGTTACTACTCCCTGTACTCCTCAACACAATGGTATTTTTCAAAAAAGAAACCGTACTTTGCTTGATATGGTGAAAAGCATGCTGAAAGAGAAGAATCTTCCTCATATTCTGTGGGGAGAAGTTGTTGCCACTGCATGTTATGTGCTCAACAGACGTCCAACGGAGAAATTGAAGGAAATAGTTCTTATTCAGAAGTAGACTGGAGATAAGAAAAGTGTTAGTCATCTGAAGGTGTTTGGTTCTGTATGTCACAAACATGTCCCAGAAGCCAGAAGATAGAAGTTGGATGATAGAAGTAAAGTGATGTTGCTGGTGGGGTACCACAATACAAGTTCATAAAAACTTTATTATCCAGAAAGTAACAAAGTTGAGTTGAGCAGAGACGTCATTATAAAGGAATCAGAAGTTTGGAATTGGGAAAGGTCTCATTCTGACTCTGATGAGAGAACTCCTGAAGAAAAGTCAGAAATACATTTTTCTGGAGCTCGTAAAGACTCTGACTCTAAAGAAGATACAGAAGCAGAAGATGATTCTGACTCTGAATCTAATGGTGATCCAGACTATGAAGACAGTCAAGGTTCTGGATAAAGTCCGATTTCTGAAGCAAGTGCTTCTGAAGGGGAAAGTTCTGGTGTCCAAAGTTCTGAAGGTCCAATTCAGAGGCAATAAAGAGTCAGAAGCATCCTAAGAAGATTTTCAAAATTTGACATGTTGCATGACACGGAAGTGGACTCTGAAGGAGAAGTTATTCATTGTACAATGTTAGTAGACTCTGAACCCGTGAGTATGGAAGAGGCTCTTAAGCAACAAGTTTGTTTACAGGCCATGAAAGAAGAACTTGATGCTATAGAGAGAAACAAGACTTGGAAGCTGACAGAACTTCCAAAAGGCAAGAAAGCCATCAGCGTCAGATGGGTTTTCAAGAAGAAGCTAAAGCTAGATGGATAAATTGGCAAACACAAAGAAAGATTAGTAGCAAAAGGATTTATACAGAAGCCTGGGTTGGATTACTTTGAAGTGTTTGCACCTGTAGCGAGACATGAAACAATCAGACTAGTGATTGCAATAGCTGCTAACAGGAATTGGTCTCTGATGCATTTAGATGTAAATTCTGCATTTCTGAATGGTCCATTACAAGAAGAGGTATACGTATCACAACCTCCTGGATTTGAGAAAAATAATAAGGAAGGGATGGTGTTAAAATTACACAAAGCCTTATATGGATTGAAGCAAGGGCCCAGAGCTTGGAATTTGAAGATTGATTCATTTTTCAAGGAACAAGGGTTTCAGAAGTGTGAGATAGAGTATGGTGTTTATGTTCAACATACTTCAGAAGGTAATATGATTCTAGTATGTTTGTATCTTGATGACATATTACTCATAAGAAATTCTGAACAAGAGATACTGAGTTCAAGAAAGTTCTGATGAATGCGTTTGAGATGACAGATCTTGGGAAAACAAGTTTCTTTCTAGGGATGGAATTTATGTACTCTGAGAAAGGAATCATTTTGCATAAGATGAAGTATGAACTAGAGCTTCTGAAGAGATTTGAGCTAGAGAATTGCAAAGTTTCTATCACACTTTCCGATACGAATCAGAAGTTAGACTTTGATTCTAATGGAGAGGATGTGGATGCTATAACTTTCAAACAGTTGGTTGATTCTGAGGTATTTTGTAATACCAGACCTGATATTTGCTATGCAGTTGGAATGGTTAGAAGATTTATGAGTAAACCAAAGTGGTCTCATTACTAAGCTGCTGTGAGAATTCTGAGGTATGTGAAGGAAATTCTGAAGTATGGAGTGTTATTTCTGTCTGGAAGAAAGATCGAATCAGAATTTGAGTTATTCAGGCTCTGATTGATGCGGAGATAGAGTTGACAAAAGAAGTACTTCTGGGTACTTATTCAAATTTCTGGGAGGTCCTATTTCTTGGTGTTCCAAGAAGTAACCTGTTGTTGTGCTGTCAACTTGTGAAGCTGAATATATTGCAGGCGCTCTAACTGCACGTCAAGCTGTATGGATTCTGAACTTGCTGCAAGATATGAAGATTGAAGTAGACAAACCTTTGAAGCTGATGATTAATAACAAGTTTGCAATCAATGTTTCCAAGAATCCAGTAATGCATGGGAGAAGCAAGCCTATTGAGACCAAATATCATTTTCTGAAGAATCAAGTTCAGAGCGGAATATTAGAAGTTATGCACTGTAGCACCCAGAAGCAGCTGTCAGATGTTCTAACAAAGGCTATCAAGACTGATCAATTTATTCGCTTGAGGGATGGAATTGGTGTTGTCAGTTTTGGATAAAATATAAATTAAGGGATGATATTAGATTTAATCTATATTTTAGGAATATCTTTTGGATATTAATCTATATTTTAGGAGTACTTTTTAGAGGATATTATTATATCTTTTTATATCTTTGTTAGAGGATATTTAGGATTTTATTTTGTGTATAAATAGTTTAGTGAGGTAGCTCATTGTAATTCATTGTAAATTATTATTTCTTATTTTTGTAGCTGTCATTTAATATATTTGTTTTTTCTTTCATCTCTTCTTTGTGCACCAACAATTTTTCCTCTAAGTTTCTCAAGAGGTTCATAAGACAGTCTTGTAAAGAAAGATGCACTCTCTTTTCGTTTTAGAAAAAAACAATTATGCTTATGTATTCTTTATTCGTCTATAATCTTGCAATTAAGATATATATTGTGTTAGTTTTCCTTCTAAAGATTCATTATAATGGTAAACGTCCTTTCCCATTCCCTAGATGTTTAGTTTTTACTACTTCCCCTCACATCAATGACATGTATTAATATTTCATCATTATCACATGGATATTGTTTGTGAAGGTTATATTCTTACAGGATCAAAGCAAGCTGAAATAAGTTAGTATTATAAATTATTGTTATTGGCTGTTATATTGTTACTTGATCAAAGCAAGTTGAACTAAGTTAGTACGATAAAATATTGTTAACGGTTGTTATATTGTTCGTGAATGTTATATTATTATTGGCTGTTGACTTTTCACGATTGACTTTGACTTTAGAGTCGATTAGACTGACGCTAGAAGAAATTTATTTACCTTTTCTCTATTGACTATAATTTGTTTACTTTTTCTCTATTGACTATAAAGCCTGTCCAACCGAGGCTATACAAATTATTTACTTTTTTTTTACTATAGAGTCCGTCAAATCGACGTTATATAAAGTATTGGCTTTTTATTTTGTTGACTTTAGAGCCGGTCAAAGCAACACTAAAGATAATTATTGACCTTTCTATGTTGACTTTAGTGTAGACTACACCGCTGTTAAATGAAATGTTTGACTTCCTCTACGTTGCCTGTAGAGATGGCCCAACTGACGCTACAATAATTATTAACATTTTCTTTTTTACTATAGAATCGATTTAACTGACACTAGATATCGTATTGATTTTTTTTTTTGGTAACTTTAACGTGGGTTCAATCGATGCTAATTAAAATGTTGACTTCATATTTTTGAGAAAAAATAACGTCGACCCTTTAGTCTCTACCTAGCCTCGGTTTAGATGAGGCTAAGTAGGTTCGACTTCTGCTTAGCCGATACTACTCAATAGCTTCATCAATTTTATTTAAAACCTGAAAATGTATATTTGTCACTATTTTAAAAAATAATTTTAAATTTATTTTAAGTTTAATTTTCTGTTTAATAGAAATCATAGGTAATAGTAGTAATAATTGTTTGAGATTTAGTTCTTACTTTCAAATTTTCTTACTATTACTACTAATCATTTTACTTAAAATATAGAGGATAGAGAATGCCGAAATAGATGACCATAGATGTATGGTCGAATGCATAATTGAAGCCTCATAGATAAATAGTAAAATGCTATTTGATCCTAATAATATGCTTTTCTAATTTTTTGAACTTTTTTAAGTTTAATAAATAAATAAATCTAAAAGAACATAAATTTATTAAAATAAGTTTGAACAGCGGTTATAAAAAATAATAATTCTCACTACTAAACAAAAATTCTAACTTTAAAAAAACTTTACTTATTAAATAATATGTCAGGTAAGATAATGAAGAAAAAATCTTTATTATATATATATATATATATATATATATATATATATATATATATATATATATATATATATATATATATATATATATATATATATATATATATATATATATATATATATATATATATATATATATATATATATATATATATATATATATATATATATATATATATATATATATATATATATATATATATATATATATATATATATATATATATATATATATATATATATATATATATATATATATATATATATATATATATATATGAACTGGGAGGTTGTGATAGTAGTTATTGGTATGATATTGAGTTGAGAATTTGTATCGGGAGATATTTGAAAGATTATTAAAGTTAAATTTTTTTATTAAATCTAAACAAGATTTGAATATTCGGTTCTTAAAATTTATTAAATTTAAGTATTCGCTAGCTTATTAAATTACATAAGTATCCATGTTGTAATGAGAAATACACATATTCTAATGGGAGATGAGAGTAAAATTCAAGCAAACAATCTTTTCTATTTTATCTTTTATTTTATTTTATTTAGATAAAAACAAAAAATAAATCATTCAAAACAACACAAATCAAACCATTATTATTTTATTGATGATCATGTACTAATCATGAAGACTGTGAGTGCTAACATATGACACACACATTGACTCAAAAAGAAAAACACAGACTAACAAACAAACACAAACAAAAGAGACATGAATTGAAACAATACACAATACATGGACACACAAAACTAATAGCTATAATATTTTAAGAAACATAATCAAAGACCATCTGTATCCATATTATAATCATGATATGATAACATGGGATTGTCCCAAGGAACATATTGATAATTATTTTGGATATTCAAACCATGGACATCAGCATGCATATCTCCTTCATTAATTGCATTTCCACTATTACCCTGCTGCTCAATTCCAATCATAGCTTCAATTCCATTACCAACATGCTCTTCTACTTCAACATTCATCGAATTCAACATTTTTTCGACTTCATTGATATTGCTATCAATAAATTTCGTCAGATCATTGAGTTCATCCTTCATATCATTGAGTTCATTCATGCTCACAAGATCGACATTGTTATGCTGATTAATAAGGGCTTTATCAATGAAATTGGTAAATCTCTTTTTCTTATTCTCCGAAATTTGTTTTCTCAACTGCTCCTGGGATTTCTCTATGCTTTTCTTCAAGTAACCCTCCAAATCCTCCGCCCTTTTGTTTCTTTCGAGTTCAGATAAACCACGAAATTTGTGTAACACATTTTGTGTTCCTGGACCAGGTGGCCAAACCTCTGGTTCAGCATTGTTTTCACCATAAACTACGACACATGCTTCTATTCCACAAAGGATACTGATTTCGTTAACCTTCTTCAGTAAACCTATTGAAAAACAAATATAGTTAGAGGATATAAATGATATATAATCAGAGAAGAATAATTCATGCTTTACTGAAAATAAGAAGTTGTTAAACTCTAACTTGATTTTCTTTTGTTGTAGGTTGATCTTCGGCTGGATTGATTGATTATGTATTGAAGTCTCACCTTCTTTCTACTCATGATTAATGGTGATCAAAACAACAAGAAAAAAGAAAATTTTGTAACTTGTGTGTTATGAATTTCTTACAACTCTTGTTATGCTATTTATAAGGAGAAACTAGAAATGTAACTAGCTGGAATGAGAGCTAGAATCATTTTTTTTATTATGATATCTAATACATGACTTTTATTTAATACAAGATTTAATTCTTTTTGACATGTATACACTATAGATTCTTAAAAATAAAACTTTACATTGGATTTTTTTTAATGATTTTTCGATTTCTTTCTATTTGCGTATAATCTTTATTATTTTCAATAATATCACAAAGATTTATAATAATAGAAAAGAAATAAAGTTTAAAAAAGTATACTCAATTAAAAGTTTGCTTTTAATATTTACCTTTTTTATGATATTTAAAACTAAAAATATAAATATTGTTTGGATAAAATTGTCATACCCCTTTTTTGTCCGGCGTTTTTTTTTATAATTCATATGATACATTTAAATTTATCAAGTTTTTATTTTTTATTTTTAGTCATATGAATTTCCATCATCAAATAAAGTCAACCAAAGTAAATATTTTATGTATTATTAAAGTTGATTAAATATTTATGCATCATTGATCATTGTTAAAAAATCCTAATAAAAAGTCTAAGAAAAATCAACATTTCATATGTTGAAAAATTGACAAAAATTGCATTTTTTTCATTATATATTGAAAAATAAATTCATGATCATTTAATTTATTATCATAATATCCATTTGAATTTTATTAATCATTTTTATGCATCATAAAACAAAATCCAATGTTTCTAGAAAATATAAAATATCTCTTATTTATTACACCAATATTCCATGCATATATGACATCATTATTCCATGCATATATTACATAATTATTAATTATTTGATTAAATAAGTTTCTTGAAGGCACTCACACTCTTTGCGTTTCTTTTTAAACAAAAAAAGAGCAAACACTTTGCTCAAATTTCTCTCCATTTTTTCAAGTTATTTTTTGAATTTCATTTAGATAGGCTCTAATGCTTTTTATTTGTTGAATTTTATTTACGTTATTATGTTGTTGCATTTAATTAGTATCTTAATCTCAACTATTTTGTATGAAAACGCATTGATTCAAAATCAGGAGTTTAAAGTGTTTTTGAACCTACATGAGCAAAAATGGTAAAATGTGAATTAATATTGATTTTCATTTTTTTCTTATTTTTTAATTTTCAGCATTATATGTTGTTCATGAGATTGTGTAGATGAATTTGCATCATTCATTTGCTTAAATCCATGCATATTTTAAGAAGTTATGCTGAAAATGATAAACAAAGATGAATCTTAGTGAACCATTTTCAGATTCAATCACAACCTACCATGTGTCCCTAGCTTTTTTTTTGGTTGGCTTAGTTGTTTATTGGGACCAAATCTCTTGGGTCTGTCTTGCTTCTCTTCTCCTTTGTTTTTGGGAATCTCTTAGTACACCATTATACATACGTAGAGGCCCTTGACAAAATTTTTATAATATCCCGTAAATTCGAATATGCATATTCGAACTCACCACGTTACATATTTTGGGTGGTCGATTGTATATGCATGTCCAAAATAACCTTTTAATCAACATCAAGAGGGTTTCGCATGTGCATATCTGAAAAACCCCTATAATTTAATTTTAGGGGATTTTCGGAGATGCATATCTGAGTCGTATTAAATATAAACATAGTTTAGAAATAGAACATCCCTTTTCCATTTCCATCTATATTCAAACTCTCTCTATTCCAACTCTCTCTATTAGAACACTCTCTTTCGTAATCGTTGAGCTATACTTTCAACTCTATTCAAGAACAAAGTACATTTTGAAGAAACAAAGCATATTTTCAACCCATTTCAACAATACTTCAAAGCTCCAAATTTGAGTAAGTTTCTCCGAATTCATTGTTCTACTTTAAAATGTAAAATATATTATTTAAAATCATCTAACTTGAGTTGGTTGAAGTATAACTTATGAAATGTGGTTATTTAGGTGTAAAAGAGAAGTTTTTGGGTGATTTAGGGCAAGAAACGCCAACTATTTGAAAACGGAAGTCGCAGGTGGTTTCAGATGTGCGCACCTGAAAACCCCTCTGTGTATTTTCGGACAAGCACATTCGAATATAATACTGGGTGTTTTTTTTTTAAAAAAAAAATTCACACTTGTTCCTTCCCTTTGAGTAATGATTTTTTCCAGGAACATGGTTTAGAATCCAAACGATAGGTTGAGACTTGGCAGACCAAGCCAGGCTGCCTCCGCTCTGTGTGAGAGAGCTAATCAGGCTACTAGGGGTCGAAGACGGGAGGAATTGGTGTGATAATCAACTTCAACTACGAGAAGTCTCATATTCCATGCATCCTTGTCTCGGGATAATGAGTATAACCTGAGGAGCTTGATGTTTGGGCACAAGAATCTGAGGAGGCCCATGATACACCGACTGTACTTTTACGTGCACCCATGAGGCAAGTAAACTAGGGTTTCTAGGAATACCCTCTGAAAACTCCCTCTTGATGTATTACAATGATCATGTCGCTTCACATGTTTGGGATGGAGAGGTATATTTTTTATTATATTTTTTCATTTAAATGATTTACGCACAAATGTGTTAACAATTAACATTGAGAACAATATTTTTTACAGGAACGACTGCCCATACAGTTTGCGAACCAAGCGCAAAAAATATTTTATCTACATCATCCTAACGAGGATAGGTTCAGGGGGCCATTCTTGACTCCGAACTTATCGGCATTTGTTGTTTCTTATACATTAATATTAGCCATGACATGCAAGGGGCATTTGTCGAGAGATGGCATAAGGAGACACCCTTTTTCCATTTTCCCGCTCAGGAGATGATGATCACATTTGACAATGTCACATGCTTTCTACACCACCCCATCAGAGAGAGGTTACTTAACCACTTCCGAATTAATCATGATGAAGCGATTAAATTTATGGTCGTGTATTTGGGAGCTCAAGCGAAAAAGTCAGATGAACAATGTTCCTCAACTTATGGGGCTCATTATCCACCAGGAGCTCGATGGTATCTTCAGGAATGAGAGAATCATATGGTGCGAGAGAAGTGTCAGATGATGTGGGCATCATGTAGTTGGCATTGTGTAGAGGACTAGTGTGGTAGCTCAATGTAATTCATTGTAAATCATTATTCCTTATTTTTGTAGCCGTCATTTAATATATTTATTTTTCCTTTAATCTCTTCTTTGTGCGCCAACAATTGGTATCTAGAGCTCGGTTCTAAATCCACGGGGAAAACGGGAAACACGAGAGAACAATAAGGTGTTGTGTGATAATCGTTGTTTCTGATTCTGGGGATTTGGGAAACAATGCTTTATTGAGTTTCTGCATAAATTGCACATGGTAGAAGATGAACGGAAACGGCGGCAATGTCCATTCCAAGCTTCCAGTATTTGATGATAAAAATTGGAAACGTTAGAAGATCCAGATGCACGTGTTGTTTGGTTCTCAATATGTGTTAGATCTTGTCACCGATGGCTATGATCTGTTAGAAGCAGACACAACAGAGGCACATAAGATAACATATAGGGAGCTAAGGAAGAAATATCAGAAGGCGTTGTTCTACACCCATCAATGTGTGGATGCAAATGTGTTTAAGAAGATTGTTGATTCTGAAATAGCAAAGGCTACGTGGGATATACTAGTCAGATGTTACGGCGGTGACACATCAGTGAAGAAGGTGAAGCTTCAGTCTCTCAGAAAGCAATATGAGAATATCAACATGAAGGACAACGAGAATGTTTCTGAGTACATCTCTAGAGTGATTCCGATCACTAATGAGATGAAAGCTTGTGGAGAAACTCTTTCTGAACAAATAATCATTGAGAAGATCTTGAGATCATTAACTTCTCAGTTTGATTACATTGTGGTAGCAATTGAACATTCCAAAGATCTGAGCACCATGAGAGTTGAAGAGCTGCAAAGTAGTCTAGAGGCGCATGAGTTGCGTATGACTGCGAGAACTTCTGAGAGGAAAGTAGAGCAGCAGGCTCTGAAAGTAACTTCTGGTAAAAAGTAACAGAAGCAGACTTGGTCAGAAGCCAGGAAGAAAATTAATGGTGGTCAAAGGTCAGAAGCTTCAAACTCTGATAGGCAGAAGAATGTCCAGAAGGGAAAGGAGAAGTCTGACAAGAAGAATGTTCAGTGTTACTGTTGCAAGAACTTTGGTCACTATGCCAAAGATTGCTGGTCAAACAAAGAAAGGAAGTTAGAAGAAGCAAATATAGCTAGAGAAGAGTCAGATGATAAACTTGTGCTATTGTTGGCTTCTGAACCTGATGATCTGAATTCATCAGAATGGTGGTATATGGACACAGGGTGTTCAAACCATCTTACTGGAAATAAGAAATGGTTGGTTGATTTTGACTCTGGGAAGAGTACAAAGATCAGATGTGTTGATGATAAATACCTCAACCCAGAAGGTATGGGAAATATCAGAATCATTCTAAACAATAGGAAATCAGCAGTGATCTAGAATGTATGGTATGTACCTGGCATGAAAAGCAATATGATGAGTGTGGGACAACTGATTGAGAAAGGTTTTTCAGTTACCATGAAGGACAATCTTCTGAAGTTGTATGACTGTAATCAGAAGCTGATTATGGAGTCATAACAGGGAAGGAATAGAACATTCAAGGTGAATGTTTGAACTGTAGACTCTGAATGTCTTCGTGCAACAAGTGTTGTCAAGGAGAGTGAGATGTGGAATAGAAGATTTGGTCATCTGAATTTCAGAAGTCTAGGGCATTTGAAATCAAAGAATCTGGTACATGGAATTCCTACAACTGAGAAGCCTGAAAAGTCATGCAAGGTGTGCATGAAAGGGAAGCAACCAAGATTACCATTTGTATCAGAAGTAGCTCAAAGAGAAAACATGCCTTAGGAGTAGTGCATTCTGATGTGTGCGGTCCTTTTCCAGTAGCATCAATTGGAGGGAATCAATATTTTGTG